AGGTAACAGTGACCTTTGACTTCTGACCTCCAAAACCAACAAGTCCGAGTAAATGGTTGTGCCAAATCTGAAGCGCTTTCTTCCAGGTGTTAGGGAGGTATCATGTTTAGTAGAATAGAACAACCTGACAGCATAACCCCTTAGAGCAGAGCTGTCACTGGTGTGGAGACATAAATACGGTGACATCAGTGTTTAAATGGCAGCGATGCTAGAACAGTGTAACATACAGAGGTAAATATACCTGACGATGTTGTTCTACAGGAGTGCATTGTTCTTTGTTGGAGGCTCTGACGGCCTGTGGGAAGAAACTCTTTGTCAGTCTCTCAGTGTGTGATTTGTGTGCAGGCTCTGTCCTGATCTCAGCTCACCAACAGGCTGTTGCTGTGGGGGGTGATTGGGGTCCTTCACTGTCCTCTGAGCTCTGCTGACACCCCTCCTGCTGTACAGGCTCTGCAGGGAGGGGTGTTTGGTTCCCATGATGCTCGGAGCCCATTCAAAGCAGAGTGTTTGTACTTAAAGGGACCTCCCCTCTCAAGTCGATCAGCATTGTTGTGTCGTTTTAGCTGTTGGTGTTCATGGATTGTCTCTCCACTGGTCTGGTGGTCGTTCAGCACAAGGTTTAGTTATGATGTTTGGTTGCAGAAACTGGGGGCAAGTCTTGGAGTTTGCCCCCAAACTAGTTTTACCATTATTGGTTTAAAGCTACATGACCTATAACCAAACTCACCAATACTTTACCATTACTTAGACCCATAAACTGTGTGCCAGTTGTGCCACATTTGTGCGTTCTGTAGGTTTTTCTTTGCTCAATTCATCCTGAATACAAAACGATCTGAGCTGGAGCTCTGTGTGCATGTCAACACACTCTGATCCAGGGGGTTCACCACTTGTTTTTCCTGTTTTTTCTCACACATGCTGGTAGTTTGTGGTCGGCTCTGCCTCCGGCTGCTTGTGTTCATGGAAACAACGGAGGTGGGAGGTAATGAGCTGCAGCTACTCCGGCTGTATGGCTCGTTTTTACATCAATGCTACGCATTCATTTTATACTCGTAGGAGTAGTGAGCCACTTAGTTTGAACTGCTGCGCTGAGCATATTAGCAGACATTTTAAAGTTCTACTTTTGAGTCAGGGCTGCTACTGATGAGTATTTTTAGAAATGTTGCTCAGTGAATTATCAGGAAATAAGAATGTGAAAATCCCCAGAGACAAAGGAGGAGCCTTCAGATTAGAATTAATGTAGAAAATAGAAATAGAATAGAACAGAACTTTATTGATCCCTTTGGTGTAAGCCTCAGGGAAATTGTTGAAATGTATAATTCATAGTGAGATGAAACGGCAAAAAGATGAAAGTATTCACATTCAAGAAGCAGGAATCAGGATGTTGACTTGCTTTATGTGTGTTGACTAATGGAATATTATTATTATTATGCTAATCACCTCAGCAGTACTACAGTTAACAATCAGTTCAGCTTTTGGGCTGCATGCAGGTAGACGTACATGGTGGTGGTGAGGTAATTCTCATGGCTTTTTGTTTTAAACTTGTATGCGGTACATTTCCTTTTGTAGGTGTTTTAATAAGCAACTACCAATAACAGCCCAGTTCTGTCTGGAGAAGCAGACGTACATGTTCCTGTAGCTTCTTCCAGTAGTTATTCTGATTACAGAGACATCAGTGAGTTAATTCAAAGTGCATCTGTGGCTGATACAAATAGAATCCTCAATATTCAGATTTTTTTCAATTAAAAACATATGAAAAGGGGAAAAAAAGCCAAACTTTTTTTCTAATACAAAACAAATATTTAACCTTTACAGTTTTGTCACAGTTTAATTTATTTTACGTCGTTTTTCAAAATTGTATTTATATTGTTATTTTGAGTATTTGTGCATAGACTCCAAAAAAACGTTTTAATACCTGAACATCTCATTGGACTGATAAATAGTTACCCAAAGTCTTTAAATGCCACCGTTTATGAGAGTTTAGAGGTTTTACAGTAAGATGGCTAACATTACCACGGTATCACTCAGGCTGTCTGGTGCTGTTTATAAAGAGGTTCTGTTTAACGTCCACTAGAATTCAACCATGTGTAGGATAAATAGCGAATGAGCTTTTTTTTATTTTTACTTTTTACATGAATTTAAGATTCCAAATCTTTTTACATAAAGCACATTCTAGATGTCAAAGTTCTCTCCAGTGAAAAGGATAATGATTGGCGTTCATAAAGTCATCTAACAAGTGTCGATATTGTGGTCAGGTATCTATAATACATTTATGGTGGGATTTTATCTGAATAATGTACATAATACTTTGACCTGAACTCCAATCAGTTGTTTTTGCTCCACCTGAACTGTATGTTGAGGATTGGAGAGTATCAAGAAGGTGGGAGAGCTGGTTTAAAGGTTACTGACCATAACACATTAATAACCACTGTACGCTGTGATTGGCCGGCTGTGCCAACATGAGAGACAATCCATGTGCAGCTATGCAGCAATGTGCGGCAAACTGGATTGAACAACCAAGTGTGAAAGCTATGAAGATGACATCACTGCTGGCTTTTCACTCTGCTAGCTGTCCTGACCGGCTGTAAACACTCCAGATTTTCCATGTGTACAGACAGAATGTAGTTCTCAGAGATTTTTTTAGCACAACCTCCACCATGCAGGAGGAGAAACAATAGTCTACCGGGAGGGAAACGCTATCCGATCATCTGAGCATCCCTTGTCCTCAACTGCGCTCTGCGTGATCAGTGTTACGAGGCCAACCGAACCGGTGAACCTGAGAGCTGACACACAGAGGCAGATTGAAGATGACCGGGTAGTTTATTGAAAGAACAGGTGGGGCTGGTCAGGGGAGGCCAGGATAGCTGAGGCGTGCAGGCTGAGCAGGCAGGAGACGGAGTCAGAGCCAGAGAGGCTGCAGGGTTAGAGCAACAGACAGGTAACAAGCAGAGCTGGCAAACCAAGCAGCTACAAGTCTGTTGACGCTGACTGGAAGCAGAAGGAGAGCTGGCAGACTGGTAGCGGGTTGATTATTGAGATGAGATGCAGCTAATGCAGCTCTGCTTTGGCTTCTGTACATCTGTCACAGCTTCTGCAAGGATGAGGGCGAAGCAGGAGATGACTTAGTGGCAGATGTAGCAACATGTCACTATGAGAATACTAATTTGTTTTCTTTTACGAGCCTACAATACATCAGTATGCATATTTTTGATTACAGTCGTCCTCAAATGTATTCATACCCTCCCGTTAAAGAAGGAAAAAAACAGCTGATACTGAAATTAATATTTTGTTGAACAACCGTTTGAGCCAATCAAGTGTTTTCTGTAACTCTCCATCAGACTTCTGCACCTGTATTTTGATTTTGGCCCACTGCTCATCAGCAAAGTGCTCTGATTTGTCCAGGGCAGTTTTTTATTTTTTTATTTTTTTAAATTATTGTTTTCACCCGCAATTCAAAAGCAGTGTCCTATTTCACTATGTTATAATTTAGCAAATTTTAGTTTATTATTACTTTTTTCAGTTTCTAGTTATTTTCGTGACTATTGTGAGTTTTGCCTTTTCTTTAATGGAAGGATATGAATACATTTGAGGACGACTGTAAGTGCAATCGTGTAGCAGCAGAACATGACCTGAGCTAAACTGTTTCTCTGCCCTGAACACCAGCGGCGGCGTTGAGTGTCGGGGGGAGCGTCCCACCGGGAGCGGCCCTCGTTCTGCTGCTCTCCATCCACAGTAACACGATCAGCTGCTGCTTTGACTCAATAATGCTGTAATTGGTTTGCTGGCTACCACAAAGCCCCCCGAGAGCTGCGAACACAGGAGTCGATGCTGTTTGTGTTCAGGTCACGGTTTCTTTAATTCCCATGAATCTCCTCTAAAGTGAAGAGACCTCAGAACATGAACCGCTGCTACAGATGAAGGCGAGTTAATCCATCGTTAAAGCATACTTAGATGTAGGAAACTTTTTGTACAGCAGTGCCACAATTTGTTTGAAGACATTTTGAAAAGGCTAATAAATCCAAATCAAAGAAGCTCAAAATCTCCTAAAACGTTTAAATACACCATGAAATTTTAAGATCCACTACTCTGTGTAGAAGCAACCAGAGACAGACTAATAAAGTGCTGCGCTTATATCCACTGTTGTTGATGTTGTTTACAGTCTGCTAACCTTTATGGAGACAGACATCTTCACAGTCTGAGGTTTATCAATGACTCCATCAGGCATCTACAGTTACAAGATGATTGGCCCAAAGATACCTGTGTAGAAATATTTTACTTGGTTTATTTAGAATTTAATCCATTTAGATAAAAGAGGGAAGGGATTAAATCGATGGTTGAGGGAGAAGAGAAGAGCGATTAAAAAGTCAAGAAATATTTTAAAAGGGAGCAGCAGGGGAAATGAAACTTTAATTTCTTCTAGTTATAATGGATTATTTAAGTTAATGTTCTGTTTAATTGAATGGGTATCCATGTGTAATGTCTCCAATAATTTGAAAATAACTTATTCAGCTCCCTTATTAAGTGGGTAGAGACAATCAGTGTGTGTTCTATGTTAGCAGTGAACCCATTTAAGCAGAAAGACAGAAACTATATTGGTTATATGCATACTTTAGTATTTGCAGTTCATATCATCATCATCATCACAATCCTGAACATGCCGGTCTCATCCCAACAGCTGCTGCTGAACTGTCCACTAACATGCATTTGAATGTCAAAGTTTTATAACACTTTATTTTACACACAGGACTTTGGGTGTTGTAGATGTCTCGCTATCTTCGGAGGGGTTTGACAGCGCGACCTGTTTGCTGAGTGAAATGAGCAACAGGGAAGATAGAAACGCCTCTTTGCATGTTTCATTAAAGGGGATTTCTGCAGGTTTTATGATCGTACGTGCCACTAAATTGAGGATGTGAACAGCCACTTGACTTTTTTCCTGTCACACAAAGAAAACATTATATGCTACAGCCTTAAAAACGGACCGTGTCGTGTGTCATGTTTTCCAGAGCCTCTAAAGCGGTGCGATGGAGGATGGGAAGCCGGTGTGGGCGCCCCACCCAGCGGACGGGTTCCAGCTGGGAACCATAGTGGACATCGGAGCCGACAGCCTCACCATCGAGCCTCTCAAACAGAAGGGAAAGGTGAGCGAGCTGTGGGGTCACTTGCTGAAAATCTGTCCAAGCTAAGAACACAAACCCTCATCTGAGTTTAACAACACACTGTTGTGTTTTTTGGATCTGTTTAGCTTTCTTTCAGACAAATCACCTGTTTTCTGGCAGCATTTCTGTGCCAAACACTCTTGGAAAATGTGGCTAAATGCATGAATAGCAACTGCATAACATTTTATAGTGTAGTTGGACTTAAATGATCTCACAGTGCAATAGCCCTTTGCAAGACTTAACGGGGAAGCAGCCGATCCAGGGGTTTTTGGTTGTTGCTGATGTTACTGATGTGCACTCAGACTGAATTTCTTTCACTGAGTTTATTTTCTTGATATATGTCATGTGTGTGACTGCCTTTATGATATTACCAACACTGATACGTTAAGAGTAAGAAGAGAGAGACTGGCAGCAGAGCACAGGCTTTATTCTACATTTTATTGCACAAATGTATCACTATAGGGTATGTGCTTTGACTGGTCAGACAAATGTGGACATTTCTGGGAAAGTATGACCCATCCAAACATCCAAACCTTCTCTGTCTGCCGCTTAGAGGTGAATTAAAACCTTTAAAGGCTACACGTTTGTAGCTGCTGCTCGTCTCTGCAACACACTCCCAGGCTACACAGAGGTGTTGTGATGTAATCTATATTGTCAATAACTGTCATTAACTCTCAGCGCATGCAAGGTTACAGTAGTTGGTTTGTGTATCTGTCTGTCTATTTGTTTGTTACCAAATAACTTGGGAATGGTTCACTTTCAAGGCCTGAAACTGTAAGGGTAGACAGTAGAGGCCATAACTTGGATCTGGGACTGCTGGATTTTGCTAAAATTGCTTTGGTCACAAGTTATGGAGTGATTTGTACTTTAAAACAAAGTTTCTGCTGCTCTGTCAGACATAATCATCACTGGCAGTGTGTAAATAAGCTTTTAGAAACTACCTACAACACTCGCTAAACACATTTATAGTGAAAAGACTTTCCTATCACAAGACTGTCTTTGTTCAGTTTCTGGCAGCTGGCTACTGTTGACTGCACGCATATTGCAGAACGTCAAACTTGAGAGTGTGCGCTTGCTGAGTGCAATGAAATGGTCTCAAACAACTGTTCTCAGATCAGACTGGATATCGTATGTTTGATGTATTATCTTTACACTTTGGTAGAATGATTGTATCAGCTTCAGGGGGTGATGCATTTTTGGGGGGATGCTCATCGTACATGCTACACTTCTGTACTCACGCAGCGCCGAGGGTCAGTACCCTGGAAATGTTGATATCATTTGTTTATTTGTTCATTTAAAAGGATTCCCGTTAGCTGACGCCAAGACATCAGCTAGTCTTCCTGGGGTTAGGACAATAAAATATCAAAAACAAGCATTCCAGTGTCAAGTAAAAATGGAACATAAAACAACAACAACACACAACAAGAAGAATCAAAATAATAATAGAAATACATAGAACAGTAATTAAAAAAATACATAGAAGTATATATACAGATAATAAATAGAATAATATAATGTAGAATAATACAAAAGATAATACATAGAAATATATACACATAAAAATACATAGAAAATACTTATTTTCTTAAAACCATGTAATACGCAGTTTATGATATTCTAAAATATTCCAGTGCTAGCAACTACCTGACTCACGCTCTACCTTAGGATCAACATGCACTGCAGTCATAATTATAGACTCCACCTTTAATTCATTTGCCAAGGAAGACAGAAAAAACACACAAAAAAACAAAGTTAAAGATGAACACTGATAACATTCTTCTTTTGAATAGCTATCGCGATAATGTCATCGTTATAAATTCTTTAGGCCACGATAATCAGGTTGTGAAAGTCTGATCTTGTTACAGCCCTACTAGGAACAAACCTAAATGTCAGAAAGAACTGTCAAAGCTTGAGCTGCATTGTGTTGGCACCGAGTTTTGACACAGAAGAATGGAATGAATGGGAAAAAAAAAAGAGTCTGAGTGAGAACAGTGCATTGACCGGTATTAAAAGCCCCATTAAAGAGAGGCCAGATTCCACACTGGAATGATTCACTCTTCCTGGATCTCTCCCGGCTTCCTGCCAAGCCTACTCCGATATGCTTTTACCTGCAGCGTGTTAATGATTTGATGTGCCACTTAATCTGTTGTACAAGAGACCACGTTTCTGGAAGCAATAAAGCATCGTTCACTGAATGGTTCACCTTCAGACCCGGCAGCCTGCAGGTCTAATGTGCTTGAGTGCAAAATTAATCAGCGCTATCTGAAGTCAAGTGGCTCTTCACAGCAAGACAAACAGGCTTTCTTTGATATCTGCCTCCCACCTCTGCTCGCTGCTAATTCACTTTTCTGCGGGACGATGTGCCATAACGCTTTTAATGTCCCTGAGAGGCTGTCGCCACGGCAACGGCCAAAGCTTCGCGTCCATCTCGGTAATCTTTCCCCGGGAAGGCCTCGGTGACTGAGCGTTCCCTTTCAAAGAGCCTCCTCGCTAATTGTGTTTGCTGTCGGCCTATAAAACACACGACTGTCACTGTTTAATGGAAACATGACTCTCTGGGCCGACGGTGTGTTTGCGCTGTGTGCAGCGTTGTGTGTAATGTTTGAAATGGAAAGGTGTGTTTGCTCTTGTCTTTCATGTTTTTACCTGTGGTATGAGTTAATGAACTGCTGCTTAGTTTTTACTTTTTCTTATTTCAGTAGAAAACCCTTCAGAAAGCCTGCCTTTCTCCTACCTGGGTACATGACCCCTGACTGGAGCAGAGTGCAGTTTGAGGCGCAGCAGTTTTACAGCAGTCATTCAGCAGCGATTCAGTCGGTTATGCACTTTATTACCCTCCTCGGCTCTCAATGATCGCTCCCTGCATCCAGGAATATTGACGCCACCGCTTTGTTAGTTACTATGGTTCTGATCTTTGCACATTTGCACGACAAACGATGTGGTGCAGATAAAGTTCTCTTGGCGTTTAAAGCAACACGCCACGTATGTCTCATATATCTACAGGCTTTAAAACCTTATGAACGGCACATGTGGTCAGCTCTGAGTAAGAACAGTTACAGTGGATTGAGCTGAGCTCAGGATGCCTCAGAAATGAAGACAAGTTGAGCACATAAATTACGACCTAATGTGTGCACAGATGTAGTCTTGGGCTACGTTTCTATAGTATTTCTGTCCAAAGCGCTTCACATGTGGCCTCGCGTTCATTCACAGATGAGCTTCACTGCAGTGTGTCAGACTGTGTCACAGCAGAACAAACTCAGCTCATTTTATATCACTGTGTTGGCCTGAACATGATAAGATTTGTGAGTGTTAAAAGCAGATAACATGTTGCTAAAATGACAACCGAAAACTGGAATTCTGTATATAGATGTAGATATCTGTCTTTGAGCTGCTTTGATAAGTTTTCATTTTTCATTTTCTTTGTGACACCATTTGTATTCTGGCATTTGGACTCCTGTCTCCGGACACAACTCTCTGCCGCCTCCATTCCACATGTTGTTGTTTTTGTCTGGTATCTCCAGTACTAATGCCGTAGAAAAACAAGTACTGCCACGTTTTCAGAATTTTGGCATCGCTTTAGCACCAAAGTATCGGTTGTCATGACATTCCTAATATGAGGCGTCACAAATTCAAGCCCGTCCATTCGTCACATCATAGGTTTACTTCATAGTCCTGATCTTAATAATGGCAATCTGAGCTGATGTGTTCACTTAATGTGCTCATTTCTGAAGTGAATGTTTTGAATATTCCTGCTGCAATATCTGTTGAAAAGACATTAAACAGATAATATATGCTGACTTTATGCCTTTTTTTTAAAATCACATTTTTGCTGCTGCATTAGCCTTTGAGTCAAACGGCAGTTTATTTGGTGTGCTCTCTATTGATGTTTCCAGTTGTTCACCAAGTTGCTGCAGGCACAAAAACACTGCCAGCTTTCTCAGGTGGATTTGTCATAGTAACGCTCAAATTCCTGTTCAACTGTTTCCATGCTGTATTATCTTATCTTTGCACCTCAGATCCACGTGGATCAGATTGTAGAAAACAGCATTTTGTTGATCACATGCTGAGATTCTGTTGCCCTGAGTTTTGTCTCCAAGGAGCTGACAGACCCTCAGCAGCCATGACCCTGACTTTAACAGTGTATGACCCCAAGTCATTTTATAGGTAGAGACAGTACAAAGAGTGTGAAACGGTTTCCTGGGAGGCTGAGTTCACTGTAAAAATGCCCTCTGTTGGTTCTCACAGCTTGCAAAAATGTTATTTTTTACACTACAACGGCTGCTTTAGAAACACAGCGACTTGTCCTCTTCAGATCTGCTGTCAGAGCGAGTTTCCGGGCTGCAGCGGAGGCCCGTAACAGCCTGAAACACAACAATGTTCAGTCTGTCCGACTGCAGCCAGTTTGTGCCAGTGTGTGACGATGTGCTCACTTGCTGGCAGACCTCCTGAGAGGGACGTCAGGAGAAAGACGGAGAGCATGATCCTCTGTCATACTATCAGTCACAGAGGCTTTGTCCTGTGGTGTCTGTGCATCCCAAGAGGGCGTCCACTGTTTGATCCTGCTGATAATGGAGAACACGGCATTTAAAAAGAAGCTGTCGATCAGTTGCATATGTACAAGATACTTAAAGAGACACAAAGTAATGTGACATTCTGGGATCCATAGAGTCTCAGAGTTACTTATTTTGGGAGTTTACTGAGACTGCAGCGAGTATAAGAAAGGGAGAAAAGGATGTTTGCTCAAATATGTATTTATTGTGTTGTGGTAGCCATGGTGATCCACATGGATGAAGCCAGTGAGTGTTTTGTGTCTGTGAAGATTCTCAGTCATCTAGGTCATGGTATTCTTGTAGATTAATCATAGCAACTGGACTTGCTTGAGTTCCTTGAAGGCATTTCACCTCTCATCCAAGAGACTTCATCAGTTCTGACTGACTAGTTGGGAGTTCCAGATACTTATATTCTTTTGGAGCCATTAGGAGCTGTGGTGGCGTTTTATGACTCGACAACCTTAAGCAGGAGCTGATGTTTGTTCAGCTTTTAGCTAGTTGTGACAACCAACATCCTTCCTCAGAGCTTTACAGTGATGAGGAAGTAAACACTTACGTAAAGATAGACAAACCTCGTCTCCTACTGGTTTCCTGAAGAGTGATTTAAAAAAAAATCAGTGTGGTGGCTTCGTCCAGTGACATGTTTGCACTGCTTGACCACATGTCTACACTGAACATGTAGCACATTCAAACCATTTGGTGAGCGGCTGGTGCAGCACTACGTTTCCATTATGATCAGTAAGCGTGGCTACACCAGGCGTATAAGTGTTGCACAGTGGAGTCACATACTACGAATGTAAAAATAGACCAGGCTTGTGTTTCTATTATTTATGTCAGGTGTGTGTGGCCCTTACATGGAAATGGATCATAGCTATATATATTTTTTAAAAATAAGCTGCCATTATATAGGAAATGACTGCTTTGTTTCAAACACATACCACTTCAGAGTTTTGATCAGCATTCATTTGCCAACACCAGCTGACAGTTGCTTGGTAACTTCATTCCTTACAGAGTCTACTGTCGTCTGTACATGGTAATTACCCATAATACACTGGAGCACAGTGCTGGGTCCAGAACCCGAAGACAACAATCCCAAAATGAAAGCTCACCGCCTTGCCTTAATAGATGAGTTGTTTGGTCTCCAAAATATTAGAAAATGGTGAAGAATCAGTGTTTCCCAAAGCCCAAAATGACAAATGTCTTGTTTTGTACTCAATGAAGGTATTCAGTTTACTTTCATGGAGGAGTAAAGAAACAAGAAAATATTCAAATGTAAAAAGCCCAAATAAGGGAATTTACCTAACAGAAACAGAAATTTACAAATTACTGAGTTATGTACTGAAGAGTCAGATGAATGAATAGTAAGAGTTTCTGAACAGCCACCTCTTGCACTTGTGTCCAGAGTATGAAGTAAAGGTCAGGTAATGGTCAGTCAGAACTGGTTTATGATGTAATGTCCAACCACAGCTCAGTGCCACATATAGTTGTATGTTAAATCAGTAAACAGAACAGAGGTACAGTTTCAGCTCTTGGCTGGCCAGTCACTGTGGTAAAGGTGTAATTGTTGGATCAGTGGTTTTGGAGAGTCACAGAAATGGTCAGACTGAAATCCTCCTAATGCAAGAGTGGAAAGCTGTGGCAGGGAGGCAGGTTTACTTCCGATGCTACCGTCCTACACTCAGCTCTGCATGAGTATACAGTACAGGTTTAAATGTGGGGAGAGCTGCATACTGAACAAATGACCCAGAAGGTGGGAAATTAATATGAGGAGGTCAGTCTTCTGGTTTCAGGACCATCTCCACACTCAGCCACTGTTAGTCCACCTCAGTGGTGATGAAAGGGTGAACGTTGTTCAGCTTTCTCTCCTCAGATTATTGGCCTTGTGTCACCTCCCCCCACCTCCTCCATTCTCCTCACGCGGTACAGTATTGTGGAATCCGTCCAGTTTGGGCTGAGAATGTGGAACATGCCACCGCTGGAAAGAATGAATCGACTGTACGTCACCTTGGCCCTGCAGCCTTGGCGTACCGAAGGCCTGCAGTGCCTCTTTAAAGGGGCAGATTAAGGCTGGGCCCTGCAGAGGGAGCCTGCTGGAGCCTACAGGAGGTGGCAGCCATTGGTCTAAAGATCACAGAAATACAACACACAGCCCCACTCTCCAAAACACTGAGGTCACATGTGTCCTCATAAAGCCTGCTGTATTAGTTCAGCATGGTCGGTTTTAACTGGAAGAATGTGAGATGTGTGGATACGAGCTGCAGACTCAGAGTACAAGTAAACTTTATATGGAACAATAAGGCAGAGGACAACTTTGGTCCCTTTGAGGGTCGGTTTGACTGGATTATTGATCGTTAAAGCATCACACAGCTTTTTAACTTAAAACATCAACGCTCACATCTGAGAACCTGACAACAATCAGATATTTGTCATTTCTCCTGGAAGTTGAAAGAACTTGGGATCATATTTTTTTAGCTTTAGCATTAGCATCTTTTATGTGCAGGTGCAGGCTGTGGTTTCTGATGTCAGATGTCTTCTTACTGATGTTTTTAACAGCAGTTTGGCAGCTACTTTACTATTACTAATTTCTAGAGTGTTGAACAAAACTGATCAAAACTGTTTTAACAAATCTGGAATTATGTGGTGAAAAGAAAAGTATAAATGAATCAAAACACATTTTAGATTCCTTAACGTATTGTATTGTGCATTTTGGAGTAAAATTTTTAAAAAGTTCAATGTTTTTACGCTCACTTTCGTTTTTTTTTTTACATTAAGAGTTAGTATTTGGATAATAACATTAATAATGAGAGATGGAAACACCTTTCCTGATGCATTCTGACATGGTGAACATTTAACTCATGACTGATCAGCTGTTTCCCTGTTTTTTGGCTTCCGGACATCATGAAACTTGACCAATAGCAGCTGACATGAAACATTCGACTTATATCCATTTTTATGGAAGTTTTGTCAAAAGTTAACTGTTTGAATTTCTCTCTTCTTAATGAGACCATCAGTCGTGTTGTGGTTCACAGCAATGAGTCAGTTCAACTATTCGTCCATATTATGGTGAGAAGTGCTCATCTAACAAAAGAGGAACAAGAGTCCATCATTCCTTTAACACATGGAGGTCCGTCAGTCCAGAACATTTCAAGAAAGTGTCACTGTGATGAAACTCTCATGAGAAACAGAAAAAGAAGACCAAGACTTTCCTCTGCTGCCAGTTCATTAGCATTAGCAGCCTCGCAAACCAACAGCAGCAGCTCAAATTGGAGCCACAGTTCAGGTTTTGGGTTCCAGCCGACGCAGAGGAGAAGGAGGAGGTGTGATTGTGTGGGTGGGAGTTCGCTGGTGACTCTTCACCAACATGGCTACTGCAAAATCCTGGTTGAGAAAATCAGTGTGCAAAAGTGAAATAGTCAGTACAATCTAAAATGTAAAACTGCAGCAAAAAACATGGTAAACAGAATGAAAACCCCTGGTGTCAGTAGGCGCTTCCAGACTTCTGACTGCTCCTGTGTCTGTCGTGGACGTGATCGAAGGTCAGGACTGATGGTAAATAATGCAGAGCGGCGGCCGTGGACCTGCCGACCGGTCTCAGTGTCTCAGTCATCACACTGTCCCCGTCCAGCCTCCCGTCACTCTGATCCTGTTACCTCCTGCCTCCAAATAATTCATCGGCTCTGCAGCAGCTGGTGCTCACTGTTTTATCTGAGCTGAGAGCTGCTTTGGAAACAGTGGAAATGAAACTATTTGAACACAAAAACGATAAACTTTTTGACACCATCCTGCAAAATCACTGGTGAAAGTTTATTTTTACCTTTCAGATTTTCTTGTCGGTTAACACAAGGTTTTATTTCATCCTAAAATGTCAGTCAGAAGTTAAATGATTTTACCTGAGTTTCCTGTCTCATTGTACTTTTCTTTTGTCTCACAGACATTTCTGGCTCCCATCAACCAAGTGTTCCCTGCAGAGGATGATCCCAACAAACATGTGGAGGATAACTGTAAGTCCCTACCTACCTGACTTATGAATCCTGCTTCTTCCTTTTTACTAACACTCTATTGTAATATATTATAGTTCTGTGTTTGTTGTTTGCTTTAAATCAAATTCCTGCTAAAATCTTTTGAGTAAAGAGTGTTGAAATGTTTAGTTACGTTTCATTTGTGTTGCCTTCGGTAACGTTTTGTCCCGTTTGCGTCTCTCAGGTTCTTTGATGTACTTGAATGAAGCCACTCTGCTCAACAACGTTCGTGTGAGATACAGCAAAGACAAAATTTATGTAAGTAGTAATGTTGGAGAGAAGCTGCTTTAAAAGAAGCCAAAACATCAGATTTAATTCCTACATGCTTTCATTACCTCTGATTTTTCACAGAACGTTTAAATGATGCATCTTCAGACCCTTTTAGTCTTTGAATTAATGGATGTATTTCTATTATACATAAATTCAAGTAAAAAAATGTGAAAGATTATGAAGTCCTGAAAGACGGTGATACAGAAATACTCGCTGCAGTGTTCTGTAAATTCCAAGAGTTCATCTGTATCCCTGGACTCAAACAGAGATTTCTGACTCTCTCTGAATGTCAGCAGCTCAACAGTTTTGGCCGAACCAACCTCACAACTTTGGTGTCGCACAAAACTCGACCAAACAAGTTGTGCGTGGTGCGACAGAAATAATTAGAACTCGACAAGATGATGTAACATGTCATTATCAGCTGATCTAACCCACTGCAGTATCAACACAAGCCACCTCTGTTTGTTTTAACCTGCCAGCAGCACCTTTGGGTGGAGCTCAGACATACCATAGTTCATTCCATTGGCTTACAATCATTTTATCTGGAAACTCACCACAACTTTACACCAAGACTTCATGCTCGAGTGTAACGACCTGTTATGGGGGCTTGTTTATGAAAGCAAAGAGAGTGTTTTAAAGGTAAAGAGGAACGATAATCTTTCTAAGCTTTCTTGATTAAATGTGTGAATTTGATTTGCGGAACACATGACAAATAACCTCACATCTACACTCACACTCATGATTTACCAACACGTTTTCTCATAATTGACTTTTTGTATACACTGCACTCACAATTGTACAGCTGTACTTGTGAGGATTTCATCAAAATTAAAAATAATTCCTTTCCAGAAACTTTACAGAGATCCCCCCACTTAATTAAAATGTCTTTACTTTCCAGATTGCTCTCACTTTATAAATTGTCCGTATCCTATTAAAATGTTCTAACAGTGTCGACCCTCTATAGACTTGTCCCTGCATGATAAAGATGTCCTTAATGTGCTAAAGTGCCATTAATATGTCCCCGTTTTTCCAAATGCCCTTACTTTATACAAGTTTCCTAATGTTAAAAGATGTCCCCACTTTGTAAAAATGTCATTTCATCACTAAAACATCCACAATTTCCAAAATGTCCTCACTTTATAAAATGTCCGACCTTATAAACATGTTTTCACATTATGAAAATGCTCCCACTCGACTTAACTTTCTCCCTCGGTGCACAAAAGTCCTTAAATTGCTAAAATGTCCCTAGTTAATAGGAGCTACGACTTAATAAAAATGTCAAAATGCTTTAAAAATGTCCTCAATTTACTGAATTGTCCTCACTTTACGTAAAGGTTGTTGCTTTAATAAATTGTCTTCACTTTGCTGCGATTTGTAAATCACCCCAGCTCATGTCTTCACTTTAAAACGTCCTCAATAAGGATTTCAATGGCTGAATATAATTTTGTCTGAAACGCAGCATCACCTGACATGGTCCATGTCTTCATTACCTGTTCTTAATGTCCTGTTCCATTAACTGGTCATAGGGACACTGATGTTCTGAGGAGAGCAGCTGAGGGGTTAACGGGGCCTCAGCGGCTCAGTTTTGCCCCGGGGCAGGTTAGTCCGGCTGGGCCTGACGAGGCATACAAATCAAATGGGTCCCTGCAAAGACACAAGGACAAGAGGCACACACCTGAACACACACATGTGAACACGCCGGGGCTCAGGTGACCTCTGCTCTGTGGACTCATAAACCTCATCCTGCCCTGAGGAGCTGCAGCTGATGTCGGCCGGGAATCAGATCAGTGCACGCTGACACCTAGTGGCCGAGGAGGGAACTGCAACTGCTGCTCCTCTGGTGGTTCATAGCTTTAAATTACAGCTTCTTCAGCCTCAGATCAGATACTTATTGATCCAGCGCTCTGATCTCCTCACGCAGGAGTTAGTTTTGTCAGCGTTAAGAAGTGTGTGTCTGTATGTGAAGGTGCAGAACTGTGCTGTGTTGTGCAGAGAGCTGGTTCTAAATATTCTGTGAAGCTTTGTTGATATAATTTTGTTGGACAAAAGCACTAGAAGCAACAAAAATTAATTAGGGGGTTGCTTTACCGCAGGTCTGTTGTATTAAACTGCATTCATCTTTTCATTTATTAACCTACTAAACTGGAAACTGTGTCAGACCGGTTTATACAACAGCTTCAGTGTTTTATGAATTCATGAGCTTTGCCTGAATGCTCGGTAACAGATGCGAGAAATGTCCTCCAGTTTGCATGAAAGATGGCTGCATTTATTTGGCTGTTCATGCAGAAATGCAGGTTTTTGAGCCTCTATGTTGGCATTCAGCTGTTTGTGAACTGTCTAACTCTGAGGCTAAGGTTTGAGGAATGACCTCTCACTATTTATTAATACTGAAAGAAACAATTTGACATGTTTTCACTTTGGGAAATCTTCGAGGCAGCTTAGGGGAAAAGAAGGTAACAACAAAACACCTGCTGGAAAAGAGTGAATGCGAACAACTGTGGGTGCAATTGTGACTTTTCTTCCTCCTCTTATTCTTCTCCTCCTCCTCTACCAGACGTTTGTAGCCAACATCCTGATCGCCGTCAACCCATACTATGACATCCCAAAGCTTTACTCGCCAGAGACCATCAAGCAGTATCGCGGCCGGTCATTGGGCACGCTGCCGCCGCACGTCTACGCCATCGGTGAGCCAACACACATGCTGGGTTCTTTGTTTTGTACAGGAAACTGCTTTTTTAGTGGGTTTTTTTTCAGCTTGCTTTTGCAGATTCTGCCCTGTTTGCTGCAAATAATATGATCTCTGAGTCACAGAGGAGTGGACGCCTGAGAGTATACATTGTTATTAGTCATCAGCCACCACTTCAGGTTCAGATTTTTTTTTTTTAGTTTGACTCTTTTTCGCTTCCAGAATATGAGTAGAAGCAGAAGGTATGGATGGAGACGTCCTCACTGACTCAGCAAATTTAAAATTGTTCCCATCTTGTTGGAAAAATGAACAAATTATCCTTTTTTTTTTAATATTGTAGAGTGATATCTTTATTTTTTGAGAAGAAAGTTTTTATTTGATTTTTTTTGCTCATATTTGACTGATTCTGGAGCTTTGGATCTTTATTTCTTTACTCTATCTGTGGGATAAGGTATGCAGTTAGACGTGTAAGTTAACAGCAGAAATGGATAAAAGTAAGCAGCCAGTGACAGGACAATTATAGAGAAAATGACAAGTTGACAAGCGAATACAAAAACCTGCTTAGAGGTAGCAGTTTTTAGATTTAAAGACTGGACAAGAGTTAATACCTTCACGTCACAAACATCCTACATGGGGTTTCAACAAATAAAGATATTTCTTAAAAGCAAATTAGTCTTCAACAGTCTTTAATTATTTTACTGGTTGTCTCTATTAAACTCATCCCACCAATCTTTAAAATCCCTAAGTGTACGGTTAACCTGGACATTTTTACCATTGCAATGTGGTTTCTTGAAGAAGTTTTTTTTTTTTTGCACAACAGAACACACGTGGGTCAGTTCATGGCAGAAGGCTCGCACTGCGAAAACTTCCCAGTTAGAAACAACAGAAATATATTCTGTTAACTGGTGAAATGTGCTCCTTCCATGCAAAGACAATCTATCAGATTACAGTTAATCTAATATCTAAACTTTAAAGGAGTACAATGTAATCTGGTTTAGCTTCATACAGGCAATGTATCATCAGAAATGGAGACTAAATTATTTGTCTTTAATGTCTTCTCAGTAGAAAAGCTTTATTTGAAACACTTAGATTTTTGGCGTTAATGCCTTTTTAACAGAGACGGTGGAGGTACAGATAGGAATGTAGGGAAACAGGGGGTTTATACTGCAAAACAAACACGTTTTAAAGTCTGAATATGTTATTTTGAGAGAATTAAATCTTATTTTTCCTCATTAAAGTTAAATTGTCTTGCCCCCTAACAAATGTGCTCAGTTATCAGACTTATTTGAAAGTAACTAAAGTTGATTTCACACATTCTGTTAATTATTATTGATCATAATCATCCTGAAGTAAGACAAAGCAGCTTTCTTTAATTTCCTTTTTTGCTGCAGTTGGGAGATATTTGCTCTTCTTTGCAGTTTCTTTCTTCATTACAGTTGCATACCTACTTAGGGTTAAAATGAAAGCATCCCCTGCTGCAGTTTACGGTCCGTCCACCAGGCAGCAGTCAGCGGTCAGATTTCCAACAGTCCTCTGAACATTGCAGGAGCTCAGACTGACCTACTGCCTTGTTATTGCAGGAAAAAATGAATGAGTTTGGGGATTTAATATGTGCTTGATTATTGGGGTTATATTTGTGTCCTCGAAGCGGAGGAGAGTCTGATCTAACAGCTATTTCTGTCTGTGTTGCTCTGCCAGCTGATAAGGCATACAGGGACATGAAGGTCCTGAAGATGAGCCAGTCCATCATCGTCTCAGGGGAGTCCGGAGCCGGGAAGACCGAGAATACCAAGTTTGTGCTCAGGTGAGGATGACTGTGCTTCTTCAGGGACATTCATGTTCACCTGATAAGGCCTGTTGAGGCCACTTTTTCCATCCATCCATCCATCCATCCAGGCAGGGGACACCCTGGACAGGTCACCAGTCTATCACAGGGCTACACTTAGAGACAGACAACCAAGCACACTCACATTCACACCTACGGACAATTTAGAATCACCAATTAACCTCAACATGTTTTTGGACTGTGTGGGAGGAAGCCGGAGAACCCGGAGAGAACCCACGCTGCACGGGGAGAACATGCAAACTCCACGTAGAAAAATCCCGGGTGTCCTCACTGGGATGCGAACTGGCAACCTTCTTGCTGTGAGGCAATAATGCTAACCACCGCTCCACCTTCCAGACTTTGATTATGTTCCTTTTAAAATGGGAGGTTCAGCTACGAGCACTATGTCCAGCAATGACCAACTATTAGCTACACTCTGCCACCTACCATCTCAGATTGTGCAGAACAGGATCCAGTTGTTGGTCCACCATATTATGCATTCAGATTTAACACAGAGATGCTAATATCATGCCACATCCTCCTGATTTTGATTGGCTTGTCACCACCTTTTTCCCTCAAGGGCGGCTGAAATTTGACATCACTTCCAAAGAGGATGAATCCTAGATTTTGACGTTCTGACACGATGAGTTATGTGCATCTCATGGGAACAGTCTCATCGACTGCAACAGTTTGTAATTCGTCAATTGTGGGCTGTGGGATTGAACCTGACTTTATTCTTCCTGAACCGTGTGTAAAAATGGCAGACCTCGCCACTGCTAATAAGATGTACTATACACTAATGAGGCAAACCGTTCCGACCACCCCTGTTTATTGTGCTGTGGGTCCCTTGTGAGGCCTGATTCTACCAAACCTCTGAAGGTGGCCTGAGTGGATATCTGACACCAACACATTTCCCTTTAAGTCCTGGAAGTTGTGACCTGGAGTTGCTGCAGATCAGACTTGTTCCAGCATGTTTTCCAACACCCAATAAAACGGAAACCTACCGTGACCAAAGTGAGTAATTAATTGCTCAATTTCCTTCTGTAACTGTAACTGCTGTTCTTACAGATACCTGACAACCTCTTATGGAACAGGCCAGGACATCGACGAGAGAATAGTGGAAGGTAAGACCACTCCGTTCTCATTAGTGAATAAGACTTTTGTGTTTTTTGACTCAACCTTTTCCTTCTCTTCTCCTGCAGCGAACCCCTTGCTGGAGGCTTTTGGAAACGCGAAAACTGTCCGCAACAACAACAGCAGTCGCTTCGGAAAGTTTGTGGAAATCCACTTCAACGAGAAGGTGCTCGAAACTGCGCTTTATAAGAATAAATCAGCTTTAAACTGCTTTGCGGATGAGTCTTGCAGAGGTCGCCAAACAATGAAGTTATGAATTAAAAATGATGCCTAATAGCTATAGTTATTTAGCATAATCTGTTTATCTTCATAGCGACTCATGAATAAACACGATATTCCCTGTATCATCACAGAAGCTTACACAGCAAAAAAACAAGCAGTAATGAGGCCTCACTTCCTTTTATCATTTTTCTCTTTTGTCTCCGTATCTGCAGACCAGCATGTACTCAATAAATCACTACATTCCTATGTTTCCTGTGCACACATAGTTTTATGGTGCTTTCCTACTTTATTACCTGATATAACTCCCTATATAATTCCTGCTATTTTAGTGATATCTACATCTAACTCACTGTGTAAGTTTATTTTAATAATGAGAGAAGTGAAAGAATATGAGGAGAACTTGCACTGACACATGCTGTAAATGTAGAGTTGGGAACATTAAAATGTTTCGGTTGCCATGTTTGTTGTCAGAATGCCGTTGTGGGTGGCTTCGTGTCTCACTACCTGCTGGAGAAGTCGAGGATCTGCAGACAAGGCCCCGAGGAGAGAAACTACCACATCTTCTACCGACTGTGTGCCGGAGCCCCTGAGGACATCAGGCAGAAGTTCCACCTCAGCTCTCCAGACACGTTCAGGGTATGAACGTCTAGATTTTATCGGCCCGTGCATTTTGACATGTGATAAATCCATGCAGGCTTGGTCGATCCATCAGGCAGGGCGGATGGATGACGGATGAATGGATAGATTAGTATTGCAGATGATGGATGGACACAGCAGGGTGGGGTATTTATAGGAGACATGATGTAAGGACTCCATATTTTTCTTCACTGTCAACAACGTATCTCACTGACACACACACTGAGGACTGTGTGTGTTTATCAAAGCCTGATAGAGCTCCTTTTGTTGTCCATAAACATTTAGAAACAGATCAGAGATCCACACTGTTGCACTGAGTGACATCTCCCTTCATTATTGTGAACACACACATATTGTAGTTTATTTTGACTCAATCCTACATACGCTGTCCTACTCCTCCAAACAGTCACTAGAGCACCAAATGTGGATTCATCCACTTCTGAAATAATCCCTCAAAACATCTACACCCTTACGTTTTATTTGACTAGTGTTTGCTACAGCATCCAGCTGTTTTAGGAAGTTTACATTTGTTTTAACTCTCTGAACACTAAGCAGTTTCTGCCCATTATGAGCTCCAGTGATATTTTTCCTCACTGTGTATGGAAACAACCTTGAACAGTAGTAGAGAGAACTCAAAATGTCTCCTGTGCATTATAACAAAGTTATAACCCCATAAACTGCAATATCGAAAAAAGTTAAAATTCATTGATTACTTATTTTACAACAATTTTTAAAACGTGGAATAAACATGTTCAACATTTTTCTAACTACCCACAGATGTTACCGAGTTACTGGGGAAAAAGCTTGCTCTATGTCCTACAGATATTTTACTACTTACATTTGTATTTGTTTCTATACTTGCCAGCCTACAGCCTGCAATCCAGCTTTTGTTTTGCAGCTGAATCCCTAATGGCTTCCCACTTGCATCAAGGAGTGCAGAACTTTACATCTTTTGCAGAATTCGCAAATTAAAGCAAATTGCTAATTTTTGGCAGTTTTTAGAAAAAGTGAAGTGATTTTGATGAAATCGCACAATTTTAAGCTCAGACTTGGTTCAAGGACTCTGCTGAATGTTGTCATTTTCTTTTAAGACAACATACCTTTAAAACCTGTCGGCAGATTTTGAGGTTCAGAGGGTTAAACCATCAGAGTATGTATATTTATCATTTAAAGGCTCAAATCTTGTCCACTGATTCTTAGTTTGACGGTAGTTCACTAATGTGTTTATGAAATACTACTAATAATTCATGTGCAGTGCCTGCTTTGCTCTCTAGAGGCCGCTTATGGCTGGAAATTTGAGTTGGTGACCAGCAGCTGTAAATCTAACCGTTGCTCACACAGCTGCAACTTTCTACTTTGCCCGACACATTTATCAGCTGCAGCGTGCCTGCATCCATTAGGAAGTGGCAGCATTGAGAGATAAATAACCATATGAAGGTACTTCAGATCCATACACTGACTCTGTAGCCTTGCAGCATTAAGGCTGCAAACAACCTGTGATGCAGCCCTCTCTGCAGAACACCTACGCTGCTCCTCTCTCCGTTCAAACTTAATATTAATATGGTGAATGAATGAATTATTTAGTCTACAGGTCTAAGATGACTCCTGAACCTGATTTCCAGAAAAGAATATTTTCTTACATTCAGGCCAGTCAGCGCTAAGTTAGGAGAATCTTTAAAGTCCATCTTCCATCACTTTTGTGGTTATCATAACATGTTGGATTTCCTTCCCACACACTCTCTTATAACTTGCTTTTGATCCTTAGACCTCCATCAGGTGAATCATGTAGCATGTTCTTTCCCCCTCAGTTTTACCTGATAAAGGTCCGTGCTAGAAAATCCTGTATTTTAAATAACGTTTATAGCAAGGACAGTACGAGGACAGTGTTCAGGAGTTCTCTCTTCTCTTACTTATAGATATTACCTCCTGTCTTTAAGAAAATTGAGTGTGCAAGAGCCTTTACAGTCACTTTGGAATTTCATTCAAAGTCAGTCAAACCAGATATTAGTGGAGAGAAAACTCTTGACTTCCTATTTAGCTCTAGGTGTGCTGGTTCTAGTGTCCCTGATCTTTGCAGAAATTTTCAGGATCCAAGACTGACTTGTGGAAAACCTGCCTGAGCCTTGCTGACTTGCAGAAATTTCTTTGACCAGATAGTGACCAGATCACCGGATCAGAGGACAGTTCAGATAAGCATCATGATAATTTAACCCTGTCCAAGACGTGGTCGGGATGAATGGACCCAAACAGAGCTCTTGACGCCTCCGTCTGAATTTCCTTCAGTGATTATGACTTTGACACCAAACCTGATCAAACTAAATGTAGCCTCCCAAGAGTATCTGTAAAGCCTCCACATTAATATAATCGTATTTATGTACAAGCGTTACAAATACAGAAACAAACCTTTCATGCCCTCACTGAGACGTAAAGCTCGACCTGCTGTTCCTCTGTGGCTGTTGTGGACACCAGAGGGCAGCACCCACCGTCTTTCCCTCCAGATCGTCATCAGAGCCGAAGCCTCCGACTGCTCTGTACAGTCTGTATGAGGAGAACATGGAAGGATCAAATGGCCGTATTTACCATCTGGTCTGTTTTGTGCTCAGTGTTCACCTCCAGTTACAAACACAGAGATCCCCAGTAATGGCTGCAGTAAACAAGGTTAATGCGCTGATAATGGCTGCTACGTTCCTGCTTTTGGTCAATTGAAAGAGAGAACACATGTATTGATCTTTAAGTCAGTGTTCTAAAGTTTAATCCATGGAATCGCTGAGAGTTTAGACCTGAAAGTACAGAACAGAGAGCACTTAACAACCAAACTTTATGTCCTGGAGAGTGGACTGACTGAATAAATTAGAAAACCTTTAATGAGGAACAGTGTAGTCAAATAAACACAAGAATCATGTTGGTAAAACTACATTAAGTCCAAGTGCTTCCTTTTTTTTTGTTGTGAAAATTAGATCCTAAACAGACTTTTTCTTCTCTCAGCGGATTCTGTCAGAGAAGAGCTGAGAGATGCTCATCTCCAAAGCAAGCAAACATCTTCTGAGAACTTTCTTTTTTTTTTCTTTTGTGCTCCTTTTATTGGCGGCACCTCAATTCAATAGTCTATTCTCACCTGCGTCATTCTCGGGCCTTAAAGTGCCGACGTTGGCTCTGCAGTCTCCCCTGCAACTTATTGCTCCTCCTGCAGTCACTTCAGCAGCTTCTAATGGCTTCATGTATCTAAAGTTTTCCCTGCTGGTGAGGAGGCTGAAAAAGATTCACCGACTTCTCTGATAATAGCTGTCGAGGATCGAGCTTTACGGTCGCCAGTTTTGCGCTCACCGCGGGGAGGAGGGTGAGCGGCGTTCAGGTCCGAGCAGGTTCGATCAGGACGCTTTTAAAGGATGTGTTCGGTATAAAGTACAGATAAGACCTGAAGGAGCAGTGAGAGGGATGTGTAGAGTGTATCCAGGAGTAGTAGGAGTCAGATACTTTACAGGAGAATATCTGTAAATACCACAGAGGAGAAGTAATTATCAGTCGTCTGTCAATGTAAAGTGTCTAATTGGGGTTTTATGGTTTTAGATTATATTATGAAGACGAGGATGTAGGAAGGAAAGAGAAAAGGAGAGAAACACATGGATGAAATGAAAAACTGACAACGAAAAAGAAGGAAAACATGTACAGAAAGACAGAAGAAAAAGTGAAGGACAAAGCAATTAAAGAAGGGAAGAAGTTCGGCAGGACAAATAAGAAATGATAGAAGGATGGAGGAGAGAGGACACAATAAAAGGGAAAGAAATAATGAAGTAAAGAAGTCAGTGCCTAAGGAAACAAATATGGAAAGATAGAAGGAAGGAAAAAGAACACAAAAGAAGGAAGCAAATAATGTCATAAGGGACTAAAGAAGGACGGAGAAAAAAAAATCAAAGGGTTGATGAGAAGGGAAAGAAAATAAGGAAACAAACAGAAAGACATTCGGAAGAAAATTGGGCAGAAAGGAAGTTAAAAGGAAGTTAAGTCCAGGATATAAAGAGGGGAAGGCAAAACATAAGTAAACAGTTATGTAAAAATAGATGGAAGGCAGAAAAAAATATGGGTTAAAAAACAAGACTAGATAGAAGGAGAGATGAAAAACAAGTCATTAAGGAATAAAAGGCAACAGAGAGAAGATGAAGATGGATAAGGAAGGAGGGGAGGAGGAAGGAAGAAGAGAAGATATGAAACAAATACAGAATATAAAGAAGGAAGTAAAGAAGAAAAAGAAAAAAAAATCAGAGGAATGAGGAAAGGTAGAAAAAAGCAAGGAAGGAGGACACAAAAGAAGGAAAAGAAAGACTGACATTAGGGAGTAAAGAAGGAAGGAAAAAAGGAGGGGATGAGGAGGATCGAGGAAAGGAAACGAGGAAAAAACAAAGCAAAAATGAAAGTATATGAATAAAGAAAGAAGGAAAGGCCACACACAAGTAAACCATTATGTAAAAATAAAAGGAAGGAATGAAGAAAACAAATATAGGATAGAAAATAAAGACTAGATAGAAGGAGGTATGAAAATGAATTTTTAACGAGTGGAAGAAAATAGAGAAAAGATGAGGCAAATGAATAAGGAAGGAGAGGAGGAAAGAAAAAATAAGAGAAGACATGACACAAATACAAAAATAATATGAGGAAGGAAAACAAGAAGTCATGATGGGGAAGAAACAATGTCAGAGGAATGAGGAAAGTTGAAGGAAGGAAGGAAGGAAGGAAGGAAGGAAGGAAGGAAGGAAGGAAGGAAGGAAGGAAGGAAGGAAGGAAGGAAGGAAGTAAGTACAGCTTCACTTAGTGTGATTCCCTGACCTGCAGCCATCACATAAACATGGAGGACGTGGAAACACAATGTTTATCTCAAACACGTAATGCAGGTAAAGTACAAAAAGTGCTCGAGCAACCAGGCGTAGTTGCTTTTCTGCCTCTGTGTGGCATGCGGGAGCTTCAGGGCGACGCCGGGGTGTTTTGCAAGAGTTGAGATTGAACAAGCAGAGGATGAAAACTGGAGGAATAAAACGGGGGAATGCGTCCCATCTGCAATCTGCCGGAGAGATGGAGGGCTGAACGAGCGTCAAATCCTCCCTGTGGCTTCTCCTGTAATGAAAGTTTTTGTTTATGTCCATCTGTCGGGCCAAAAAAAGGGACTCGCCTCTCCAAACGAGATAAGCCCCGGCTCGACTCTCCCCTCCCTCCAGGAGACACCTGGGAGGTTAGCGTCGGAGTCGTCAATACCTCGTTTCTCTGCACAGAGCAGCGGAGGCCAGCTGGTGCGAAACCATTAGATCCGGTACGGAATCGATTACGGAGGACGGGAGTGCTTTTTGTGCGAATGCAAATTTAATTATGGGGGTGAATTCTGAACAATTGAATCAGCATCTTCTGAGATAATGCGAAGACTGTCACTCCAAGACACTTTGCATCTCTTATCTGAGTGTTCACAGGTAATTTTATGGTTTTCGACTTTTAATGCCGCTTCAGTCAAAGTGCTTGTCGGCCTCTCGTGCTCCCAGAAATGGATGCCTGATAGTGGAGTTGAACAGGTATAAACATTGACTTAGATGTGGTGAACAGAGAGTTGTTTGTTTGAAGCGTGTTGAGACCTTTATAGTCGACGACTCAAGTCTGAAAATGTGTTTTTATGAAAGATCATTTACCGTAGTGTTCAGACTGTTGAGCACACCTGAATATAAGCCGCACCCGCTAACTTTAAAAAGGAAAAAACAATTGTACATATATCGGCCGCACTTGTCTATAAGCTGCAGGTGTCCACGTTGTAACCTGAGATATTTACACAGAAAGATTTTTTTTACTTTTAATAAAGTTCGTACCGCTAACGTACACAAATACCGTAAATGCTTTTTTCCAAACAGCGCCTGTAACACGACTGGTTAAAAAAAATTTAAAATACAGTAGCCTAGCATGAAAGTCATTGATCGCTGTCCTCATCTTCCTCCTGCACTAAAACCACTAAAATCATCTTCTTCAGTGTCGGGATTGAACAGCCTCAGAATTACTTTGTCACTGTTTTAACATATTTAACGTTCAAGTCCAGGAACATTTAAGCAAAAACATCTGTGAAATAGCAGCGATATCAAATGTAGAGACGAAGGCACTAATGTTAGACAATCATCAGGTTTTCATATCGACTAAATTTGTTCATCGGACTGATACTGATATATCGGAAAAGACACTAATATCGGCTGCTATCGATGTGGTCGCCTATGTATCGTGGATCCCTTAATTCAAATGCAATTGAAGAATAATTGCTAAACATTCCAAATTGTTTTTTTTTTTTTTATAAAGGATTTAAAATCTGAGGCAGAATCAGAAAACCGACTGGAAACAGCCAAAAAATTAAAAGGCATCTGAGGCAAACTGATAAAAAGGCTTTAACTTTGCATCGTTTTTATTCACTATGCAAAGATGCACTTCAGACTTTTCTTGCCTTAAAGCTGACTAACTAGAGGCCTGTTGTGAAGTGTGACCTGGACTGTGGAACAGTTAGAAGGTCTTTGCCAGCAGATCTTAAAGGCCTTTTAGGGCAGTAAGGTTTTCATTATATGTTTCAGATTGGAAACAAGGGACTAAAAATGGTCATTTTTGAGTTTCAGTTAGCAGATGCATGTCTAAATTGTATATATTTGTGTCATCACCATGTTTTGTGGCAGCTTTGTTTATGAAAAAGTGTAAGAAGCTCATGAACTTAACACCACAAGCACTACTGTGAACTGGGCTTTGACTCTGGTGCACATCCTTACATCACACCATGCTGCCACACAAACTGGATTCAAAGGGTTTCAATCCAACAATTAGCCTCTTTTACATTTCTAATGTGGTCTTTGTTTTTATTTTTATAACTGCTGTAAACATGTCATGTTGAAGGAGATTTGAGATTGAGGTCTTTGCTCATACTTGCTGTCTCTGATTGTTTTGCAGTACCTGAACAGAGGATGCACTCGGTTCTTCGCTACCAAAGACACGGACAAAAATATCATGCAGAACCGCAAGAGCCCAGAGGTACAGTATAAATTCAGTCCATTTTACTTCATGATGGTTCACAGAATTTAAACACAAATGAGTCCTAAAATTTTGACCTGAAACTCTCCAGGAGTAAGTTCAGTTGTTAAATGAAGTTTGTGAACTGCAAAGTTTATTTTATTTCTACCTCAGATAGAGACTTGTGTAGCTGCAGTGAGTTTTGTGTCCCCTGTGTTTGATTTTCAATCTGTAGTTACAATGCAAACTACGAGTTTAACAAAAAAAAAAAAAGGAAGTGTCTCATCACCCTGTGGGCTGTAAGAAAGGAAACAGTCGCTCTGCAAACTCCATTACCTCCTCGTTAAACTTGACTCAGCAGATCCATTCAGCTTTACTGCCTCCAGCTCCTGTTTTCTTCTCACAGTTTTTTTGTCTCAGTGTGCAGGACAGATTGACAGAACGTCCCCTCCTTTGTTATCTCAGCGTTCACTGCATCAGTTGGTTTGTCTGAAGCTCTTTGTCCAGTCTTCAAACTGCACCGAGGCTCGTGTGAGGGAGGGTTAGAAAGAGTGCATCAGACATACCGTACTGTTAAAATATGTGGGTCAGTGTATTCTGTGGTCTGATCACACCTCCAGTTTCAGAAGAGATGCATCTGTCATTAAACATCTGTCAGAAGCTTTAACAGCTTCAGGAGGAGACTTCACTGCCTCTCATCCCAGAAAGAAAAATGAAACACTCAGACAGAGAAATTTGTCAAGACATAAAAAACCGGCTGCAGGACGTCGTGCCTGACATCAGTTTTATTTAGAAAAATCTTGTTTATGTGGCTGACATGGGAGGACAGTAATAAAAGGCATTAACACTCTGAACCCCAAGACCAGCCGTCGGCTTTGAAAGACTTGTTAACTTCTAAGAAGTACACAAAACTGCACGATTTATCAAACTGCAAAAACAATAAGAAAATGAAACCAAAACGTTATATTGCGGCAAAAAATGAGTCCACAGTAAATTAAAATGTGACCAGAGCAGAACATTTCCAGAGTTCAGAGAGTTAATGTGCAACAGAAATGAAGAGACTGAGGCTGAGACTCAAACGGTACACAAATGGAGGCAAATAATCCAATTTATCTTATTTTAGTAAATGAGAAATATGAGAAACAAAAGCAAAACAACAGTGTAAAAGACTGGACATTTCACTAATTGCTCTTTTAAATTAAATCCTTATTCACTGATGTGCAGAGTGTGGCTTCTGATGGGTGACACAGTTTCCTCCATTTGCCCAAAATATTACTTCTTTCTGGAGCTGATTTAACTTCTTGACATCTCGCACTGTAATTTTCTGTCTCTGTCAGTGATGTTCCTGTATTTATTTAAGCTGTTTAAGTGAACCAGTGAGTGAACCTGCTCATGAATAAATCTCTGTTGGAGCTGAAAGAACAGGAAGCTGTGCTAATGTTATGTTTTATGACTACAAAACTGAGTGAAAAGGACACCAACAGCAAGTAAATACAACCTTCTCAAATAAGTTCGCTGTAGCTTGGTAAAGACACCTGTAACCATGGTAACTTTACGCAACAAAGATGCCGACATCTGCAGCTCAGGAATGGTTACAGGGATTCCATGACGGCAGAATAAAAATGTGTAAAATGAACATAAATCAGTTGATAAAAAATTGTCTATCCATTATCTATACACCGCTTGATCCTCACTAGGGTCGTGGGGGGCTGGAGTCTATCCCAGCTGACTCAGGGTGATGCCAGTTTATCACAGGGCTTCACTTGTGGGAGGAAGCTGAAGAACCCAGAGAGAACCCACGCTGCACAGGGAGAACATGCAAACTCCACGTAGAAAGATCCCTGGTGTCCTCACCGGGACGTGAACCCGGCGATCTTCTAGCTGCGAGGCAACGGTGCTAACCACTGCTCCACCTTGCAGCCCCTAAAACTACATATTTCATCTAATTCCAAAATAAGAACACAGCAGTTCTACGTAAAACACAGCCTGCACACGTCCACATCTGTCATGTCACACGTTATTGACAGATGGGAAGATAAAGACACCGACTCCGCTGGATTTGTGCTCACATTTAAAACTACAGATGGGACATTCGATTTTTATTAGACTGAATGTCTTCTTAAATAATTTATTGCAACATTAGAATTGCTAATCGCTTTTTATTTGTTTTTAAACCCCCTAAACTATAAATTTTGCTGCTTCTGGGGGAGCTCAGGTCTGTTTTTGGCTGGAAAACTGCCTTTGTCCTTCTTTTTCACGCCCTGGTGCTGTTTGCTACCTTCGTTTCCACAGGAGAGAAGATTTAAAATGTGTGATTCTGATTGTTGCTTAAGGAAATCCTCAAAACTACCAGTACAGAACTTCTGCAACAGGCAGCTTCATTTTTCTGATTAAAAATATAAACATTCACTTATTTGTCTTTCTGACACACGGAATCATTTCATCTCACTGATGAATGTAAGTCGTAGAAGAGTTTGCCCTTAGGGTGGTAATAAAGGAAAGGTTCTGTGGTAATGGAAGTCTAAGTGGTGCAGACACTGGAGAACAGGAAGTAATTCCCATTGGTTGTTTCAGAACAGCCTTCAGAGAGGAATGGTTGGCCTGAAGGTGGTGTTAGAGAAACCGTCAAAATCATTACAAACAATCATCTGGGAAAATTACATTTTGTTGTATTTCTCATAGAAATGGAGTTACATCCTTCTGCTGGTATTTGTCATTGTTTGGTGCAATTAGAGTTGACTTGTCGCGGTTGTAGCTGTCAGGTCTCAGCAGAAACAGAAAGGCTGGAATGAGTGATTATAGGACAGAGCGGCACCACCTCACGCCTGACCTGATTTCCTGCAAAGAAAAGATGCTTATTGAAATATATTTTATTTTTTCTGAATTGGAAGACACATCATATAAACAAAATTTTCAATTATTAAAATTAGTTCTTTGATTGGCTGCAGGTAAAACCTGGCTGGTCCTAAATGCACGTATTATAATCATATATCCAAATACAGCAGACTTGAATTGACACCTCTATGAGTAGGATTGCAGATGAAAATTGAGCCTGTGCCCAGTATATCCACTTCTGAAAAGTGCTTTATCGGCTTTATGGGAAGAGAAACAACAGGTTTTTCTACCTCCTGCTACTCCTGAAGGAAAACCACATCGTTAGAAGTCAGACAAATGTCTCCAATCGGGCGGTTCAGACATCGGACAGACTGTAACTGTTGTACAGCAGCCATGAGTGACAATTACAGGATATTGGACCATGCTGAAACAATAATACAACAGCAGCAGCACAAGAGGAGGAGACATAAAGCAAACTGACTCTAAACTATGTGAAGTTTGCTAACAGTAATCACAGTTGGACATAACAGAGGAGCTCAGCAAACCTTCTGAATGTGCCGACTTGAACAAGGGTTTGCTTTATTGGGTATGAATTCAACCTTCAGCTGTTGAAAGGACCAGTTAGAATGAGTTTTTTAAAAGTGTCTCGAACTGACTTAACTCTTTAAACATGAAAAAAAAAAAATGTGTCAATAGACTCTGGCAATACTTTAAGTAACAGTAAAAACATCCCATTCTTTCATTACTGTGAAGACATGAAATGAAAATATGCCGGAATTTTTGTTAGTTTGTGAGTTCGTTAAACCTCTGGCTGTCAGGACTTAAGGTGAAAGATTCAAGCTGAAGCACATTGATTTGAAGTCGCTGATGCTGTTTCTTGTGATCTGGTTTAATTAGAACATTAGAGCTCCACGGATTGATTCGCAGCAATTTGTTGGCAAGATGAGAACTCCATGCAGCTGCCTCGAGCGACCGAGGTGGAACAACCAGATAACAGAGCACAGAATGCTTTTACAAATCCCCTTTGAAAACATGTATATATATATATGAAGACTTACATCCATGTGTAATTATGAAAACTTGCTCTGCTCCGACCACATTAAAGCGATGAACCCTCAGCGCCGGATTATCTCGACAACAAAGACCCTCTTCAATACTTGTCATACGATCTCAGTTTTCAGATGCTTACATTCAAACAGCAAACATTTTAATTAGCTGAGAAGCAGCTCAACACAAAGACATGCAATGAATTAATAAGAAAACCCCATCATGTGAAATGAGCTCCTTCTCTTGCCTTTGGCCTTTGATTAATTATGCACAAGTATTCCATTACCGCTGCTCTATATGGGATTCCCTGCAGTGCGGCATTATTAATTATTATACACATTAAGAGGAACGTGGACAATAGATCGGTGCACCAGTTAAACAGTGGAATATTCTCACAAATCCAGTTGTATACATTTATAATTAGCGTTTTTCTTTTTTGCTTTTTGTGAAATCATAAATAATGAAAAGTACCAGGGTGCTGACCCTCGGCGCTGCGTGCGTACAGTATTGTAGCACACATATGATATCCAGTCTGATCTGAGGACAACTGTAGACCTTTTAATTGCATGAGGCTTGCCGAGCGCATTGAAATGGTCTCAAACAACTGTTCTCAGATCAGCCTGGATATCGTACATGTGATGGATTATCTATACAACTTGGTAGAATGATTGCATCAGCTTCAGGGGGTGATGTATTTTTGGGGGGATGCTCATCATACATGCTACACTACTGTAGAATAATGTCATGCTGCTCACTCAGTGATGAGGGGTGGTTCTAAACATATGACTGCATTAAAGGGAGTTACCGTATAGCGGGAAATCGTTGGTTTAGTATGATGCTTTTTTTAATCATCAAATATTACAGCTATATCAAACCTGCTGTATAACAGTCAGAGTCAGTAAAACACAGCCAACAACGTGCCACACCATCAAGGGTGGAGCAGCCGAACCAGAGAGTCAGTGCAGAACAGTCTTAGCTTCACACCAGCAAATTTCACACAGACTTGAACTGTCAGCAACATGTACACAAATCGACCTCGTGGTAACTCACGTGCTATAGATCCGAACGACTGTGCCACGCCCCTCGCCGTGGAGCCCAATGGTGACCACGGGTCCTTGCTCTCACTCACACATGTAATA